TAAAAATGTTTAAATATATGTATTATAATAAAAATCTAATGTACATATATTTTGTTAAAGTCTTTTAATTCGCAAACAGAAGAACTGAATATAAAAATATTCTATTAACATGCTTTGATACTAATTATGTATGATTTAAACAGGTTTCTTATTTTGTAAAAGATTAAAGATATGCATATTTACAGTTGTAATATATTATATTTAATAAAACATTTTTCGTGTAAATATTATTAGTAAGATAGAAGTAGAATAAAAATGGTACATTAATTGGTAAAGCTAATAATTAAATTACAAATATTTGAAAAATTATGTATAAGGAAGAAGGTTGAAATCGGTAAATAAATTTAACAAAATGTAAAGTGATCTCCGAAGAGAAATAAAAATTTTTTTTGTTAAATAATTGATAAAATTGCATTAAATATTTCCTTTAAAAGCATTAATAAATTATCACAGTTAATGAAATATCGATAATGTATGTTGAATAATTACATATTTCCTTCTAAAACATCAATAAATTATAATATTTGATTATGTATATAACGTTAATTATGAAAACACTTACTAATTAACACAAGAAAAAAATATTTAACATACCAAATGTATTCAAAGTTAAAATTGACTGCTGTGTCTTCGATGTATTCATTTTTCTACATTTCATACAGAAGGTACAATTTAAAAGAAACATATGTTGCTATGTGGTGTACCATTCAATCTGTATAAAGATTTTGCAATTTTTAATGCTGTATTGAAAGGAAATTACATTTCTGTCCCTTTTGTATCGAAATGGGAATTGATTTGAATGAAGTTGCAAAATAAATGAAAAATGATCGAAAAATTCGTAAATTTCAACGTACTTCTATATGCGCGCTATGAAAGGGAAACTACTAGTACTAGGAATCGAGAATTCTCCCCAGTAACAGAATTAAATAAGTCCAGTAACAGCCACCAGAGGTAACAGCGTCGCTAACACGGCCAAGAATTTCGAACCAATGGTAGCACTTGGCAACGAACGGCAGGATGGGACAGATCAGCCCATTGGTCAGGCAATCGCCAAGGGAGTTACGGTGGGACAACGGATAAACAGATTTCAAAGTTTCGAATTGCTCGCAGCGCAGGAACGGCATACAGAGGGAGAGTTGATGTCCGTGTGCGCATGTTTCCCGCGAATCTTACTTCGAATAATTGCGTCGTGAACACTAATATTTCTGATAGTGCGATTTTATATGTCGCATGATTTAGTACGTTTTACGTACACTGTCACGCCGAATTAACAGTGACAAGTGAGAAGCGAAAAGATATCGAACGTTGTTTTCTCCTCGGAACGAACGTAGCGGCTTTTGTTTACGAAGAGGAGAGGGGTGACTTCCACGAGGATTCTCGAGTGCATGCTGCCTGCGAGGCAGTTTCCCGCGCGACGCACGTGAGTTCAGTGAGTGGGGTGATGAGAGATACAAACAGAACTTGCGTAACCTAAGTTTCATAGACAGATGTGATGTGTAGTAAATCGTTGAAACGTCAACGAAGTGAAGAAGAGGTAGTTCTACCGGTATTTGTCAAAAACATTCTCCTCCAAAAAGCTACGGAGATGGATGAAATAGAAAATATAAATATTTGCGAGACGCCTCCCAGCACAATAAACTTGAGCAACCGCAGTTCCCATGACAGTGTCGACAGTGGTTACTTGACTCTTACTCCACATTCTGGTGCGTACACACCGATAATTTCAGGATACAGGTCTAGAGTGTCATGCATTTTGTCGAAAAGACATCACAGACTCAGATTGGATCCTCTTCAGTTGGAACGGGCTCAGAGGCACCGCTTGAAATTGAATCACCTGCTAAATGCGTCTGAATCCGATTATTTAGTTTCTGAGAATTCTGACAGGGACAGCTTGATTCAAGATGTGTCGAGTTTTACCGATGATCATTCGAATTTAAGTCTCGAACACTCGAGCCTGGAATTAGCAAATCAGCACAACGAATGCCGTAAATTCGACGGAAGTTTTCGAAGTAGAACCCGTCGAAATTGCAAAACCACGGTTCCCATAACACCAGCATCGACGAGGTTACAACTTCTTTCGCCACCACCGTCACCGGCGGTGCCTTCTTCTTCGTTTATTGCCTCCGAACCCTTCGAGGAAGATGTAGAAATGAAGCTAGTCATCGTGCATCAGAGCACACCTCAGGTAACCACTTCGCCCAGACAAAAAACACCAGTACCATTTCCACGTATTATTATTTCGCCAACCTGTAGAAAAGCTAGTCCCGCGATTAGTTCAGCAGACAATCAGAAATTAAGCAAGCTCTCTATCACGGATCTTGCTACCGTTGCTGAGATCAAGCCAAAGAGGTTGGACTTCAGTCATCGTGCCTTGGCAGTTGCCTTACACTATCCTAGAGCTACCCCAGATTATACAGGTAGGGAGACAGTGGACATATTAACACTCCTTGGAGAGAAGAGCAATCATTGGAGGATAGTTTCAAAGATATTGTCCTTCTTGGGGTCTCAGGACCTTTGTTCGGTCAGTATGGTATCTAAAACATGGAGGAGAATCTGCACTAGTGACTCTAGGGCCAATACGAGAAGACTGACCCATGTAATACTCAGACAGAATGCTAAAGAGAATCTAAAATTAATTAAAAAATCAAAAATGGAAGGAGATATACAAAACAGTCCTAAAAGTAGATATGCAAGAAAGGGATACCTGTTAGAAGTACAGAATCTTCTCCAAGTCCCAGGAAAGCAGCGACCACCGAGCAGTCCACCTGTTTCTCCTAGCAAAGTAAAATTTCACTCTTTTGTTAAGGTAAGTGAAATATTTTATTTGTTCTATGTAATACATGCTTAAGATAAATAGAATTCATATAGCAAGAAAGTACTATGTAGCCTTAAATTACAGTTTGACGTATGCTTGTGCTTTATAATATTTGACCCAATAGAAAACTAAATGAAAGATTAGGGAAAATTTGTGTGGAGTATGATTTACATTAGATGCAAAAATAAATTCAAAGACAGATTTATTAAAATCATTTTACAATATTTTTTGCAAAAATATATGTGAAATTAATTTTTTATACAATTGTTTCTTCTAGACCAAATTCTATTTTTGTCGGTATTTCATTCTGTAATAATATACAAATTAAAAGTATTAAATGGGGTAATAATTAGTTCATTAACCTTCTTGTATTTCTGTATGAACATGAGAAAAAGCTTGACAAAGTTTCGAATGACGCGAAAGTTGTGCGTTTCAACGGTATGAAGCAGCAGTTTCTCTGGCGGGATCGTATTCGATCCCTGTAAAGAAAGTAATGCATGTTGTACACCAGCGGGAGTCGTGTTCCTAGCCGTTATTGTACAACATCCCTAGATACTCGAGGAATGCATTCAGATTTACGTTCGACATACATACATACCTTACATTTTCATCGTTAAAAGACGAATATCTTAAAGAAACAAAAAAAAACAATTTTTCTATACAAAAATTCTCAATTGTATCAATGTAAAAATTAATTTCAATAACGTTACGCATTTAATTATTCTACATTTATCGATATTGAACGATGCTGGTAATCTCAAATAACGTCGATGAAACGTTTTCGCAAGGCAAATCTAGATTGTAACTTTACTTTTCGTACGATCGTTCGAAAGCGTCGTAATTAATATTCCACGAGATATGTACTATTTAGAGGCAAAAACAAAAATGTTTTCATCCCGACCGAATTTTCGCCTTAATTGAATAATAATGATCTACACGGTATTCGGTGTTCGATTAACGAGAAAAGGACTGCGTAACATCGTGTCAAAGAGATTTCGCTCTACGAAATATCCGTCAGGCATATCTAAACCCATAATTAGGTTGCTTATATTTCTTCTCTCCTGTCGACTTGTGTTGACGGTGGGGCATAGTTTTACGAGCAGAATTTCGAAGAATAATTACGCGGTAGTAATCACCCTATGACCTCCGGTAGCTTAGGATTTCTTTGAACTATCTGTGCCTCTTCTGCACGCCTTGTCGGCGTAATTTGCACACAAGCGAGCGAGAGCGAGCAAGCGAGCGAACTCAAATCAAGCAACTTAATTGTTTCGTTGGTGAGATCGTCTGTTTGACGTTGATTTATCGTGATTTCTTCTTTGAAACACCGCTGCTTGTCAACTACGAAGGATATTCAGTCCTGTGAAAGATCGTCCTCTCGCGCGACGTCTGACGAGTTTTCGTCGCAGCGAATTCTGCTGCGCGCTCCTCTAGGGTTAATTTAAGTGTGTCGAATCTGGGGAGGGATACGAAGAACCAGTACGAAAATTAGTCGTTATGAAATTGTACACTTTTAAGAGGTACAGTTGTTTTGCGATATCATTGAACAGTGTCGTTTGTCTCTTCGTTCAACGAAAGTATACTAATGGAAGGGGGGAGGGAAGTATTGTGCATAGTAGCTGCTTCTACGTATAAAGTGTGAAGTAAGACAAATGGGAAGTAAATGGGTAACGCTTTTACATTGTTGATAATAAAATCAATAAATGTTCCTCAGAAAAATGTTTTACCTATATTTTTATTGAAGAGCAATTTGAAGGTATTAGATTGTTAAATCTTCTTAACCCTTTGAACTCCTAATTTTTTCTTTTCTTTTCAATAACTCATTATTTTGTGTGTTTTATTTGAAATGTACTTTTAAAGACAGTTAGTTGATAGGAGCCAATTTAAACAATTTTGTTTCTACCAATTATATTGAAAATAGCATTGAGGAACATATACATTACCTGTTGCTTACCTAGGTAAAAAAAAAAAAATATTGTGAAGTATAATACATATTTAAATTGGCAACTTAAAAATGTCCCTGTGTAAAAATGTAAAAATATACCTGTGAATAAAACTGATGTTCAGTCACACTTGGTAAAGGAATTCAGAGGGTTAGTACATTTTCACATAAGAAGAAAGAAAATATTTTTTAAAATGTTCATTTTTCATGCAGTATGCATGCAGTGATAATCAACTATTGATGTGAATAAATAAAAAAATTACTTTATTTTTTACTTTGATTGGTATGTAGAATACAATGGTATTGTACTACATATTTCTAATTTTTAATAAACATGGGGTGTTTTGTAATTCTCTGGTTTTTCCAAAAGAGATCATTGAAATTTTCAAGGATTAGCG